CATACTTCTGCTTTGGGTTGTTGCTCCCTTTTAGGGCTGAAACAATTATTCAGATTAATCATGATTAATTGATTATTATAATAATCATCAACAAATTTAAATTGTAACTTGAGCATAGAGACTAAAACATACCTTTAGTGTGCAGAGCGACCCATTTAGATCAGTAATTATACCAAGATTGTAAAAACTACATAAACTTTTTTGCATCTAAGATTAAATGAAAAATTCACCTGTCATTATGCTCCATCTAGAAAGTTTGAGATTCACCTGGTTTGATTTCGTAAAATGTCTTCTTTAAAGAATCTTTTGCAAAATAATCGTTAGTTGTAGCCCTTCTCCCCTTTAAAGCCAGCATTCATGACTATGGTCGCCATCTATAAAAACCAGATAAAAGGGCTCACCATGGGAACGGCCTAACATCTAAATTTGGGGCCACACACGCAGAGCATAGGGAATGAGAAGGAAAGGTGGACTAAATCCTTCAAAAGATGTCTCCCTTTCTCATTAGCACTGAGGGTGTGGCCACAAACTCAGATGTTAAAAGGGCAAAGTTAAATCTAGCATAAAATATAGATATTTAGAGTTAACATACATTTATTCGATCTAAGACTTTGATATAAGATCATAGATTTAACTATAAAGGCTTAGAAATAAATGTAACATACACATATAGGATGTAGAAATAGATTTACACTACAAATATACCTACAAAGTTTTGATACCACTAACTGCGAAAAAAAACAGCCCTAAGTCTAAAGAAAGTGTGTTGAATAACAGAAATTTAGTATAAGATATTTTTTGGGCTACTATTTGAGATCCTGCAAAACATAATTTTTTGTGTGTTTGGCAGTAATCGTGCGTGTTTCCCAAAAATTGCATGCACAGCTGCTGATATTTAAAAATGCAAGCCTAGATGTAATAGTAACATGAAAATGCTCTCATATGATACATACTTAGTGCTTGCTTAAAATATTAAAATCATATTTTTTAAAGCAAATATTAAGAAGAAATAAAAAGAAAACATTGAATTGCTCTCTATTCACCTATCTTCAGAGTATTTACGCTTCAACTTCAACAAGCTCTTCTAAATGTCAGCTAAAAAGTAGAGTTTCATACAGTTGTTTCATACAGTGATTTAAGGTATTGAGGAATTTATCCCAGAACTCATCCTGGATTGTCACTAACCCTCATTGTAAAATGGGTCCCAGACCTTTTAATTTAGGTGTGTTGATCTATATGTTCAATATTCTGTGTATCATTAGCATCTGATTTTAGTTTAACTTCTAGGGTTGTTCCTGAAGAAGTAGAATTAGTTTAGCAGTTTAATTCCTGAGGGTAAACATGTTGGCACTTGTATTAGAAATGGATTAAATTGACTTGTTTAGTGTGTTTTTTGTTCCTGTGCTTTTAAAGCATGAAAATCTAAACACTGTTATTAGATGCAAAGAACCTTCACTGAATTCTTAACCAAAACTTGTTCTGAAACTAAAACTTCTAGATGTATTTTTGTGTCAGTATAGCAGGGGCTGGCTGCATGTGTGCAATTGAAACACATACGTTAGTTAATTCTCACCTCTGACTGCAGTGGCACCTGCTCCTATAGGTAGGTGTGAGTGTTGTCTATCCAAAAAAGGTGAGGTTTATCTTTGTCCTTTAGAGCAATGTCAGACCTATCCCTCTGTCATCTGTAAGACTCAGCAGCAGGTGCAAAAGCTTCAGAAACAGCAACTCAGCAAATCCACTGTGTCTAAAATATATCTTTCTCTTTTCCCAGCACATCCTTTACATTATGAGGATTGGGGTAAATTTTATTCAAACTTAGAAGTACATTTACATTTGACTTTTTTTTTTTCAGACATTTATACTTGATAGATAAAGAGAATAATATATACTGCATATAAGTACACATAGTCTGAAATGGAATAGGCAGAAGAAAAGAGCTTATTTTGCCTATCCCTGTATATTTACAAAACAAAACAGAGAATTTGCCAATGTTTTATGCATGCAGTTATAATTTGTTTTTTTTTTTAGTTCATAACAAAAACAGGAAAGAAATTCAGTAACTGTAATTTTTATTCTGCATTCTTAGCATCCATTCTCAGCATATTATTCTTATGATTGTTTCCTTTAAAAGAATTTCATATTTGTTTAAAATGTTAGAGTCTTTTAGCTCTTGGTCCAATTTACTCCATACATTAATCCTAACAAAAGACACAACACTGCTTTGCACTTCTTCTGGCGTACGTTTTTTAAACCATTTCTTCCTTTAGAAAATTGTAAGCACAGTCCTGTTTTTGGAACAGTCCCTCAATATGCACCAGTAACTTGTCATTGTTTATTTCATACATAAGCTGTGTTGTTTTAAAGTCGACCAGATCCTTCAATTTTTGTGCTTTTACTTT